GGCTGGATGGGGCAGCGTCTCCCATGGTAATCCTGCCCCCGCCACCCTGGCGTAATTGACTTTTTTTTTTTTATGCTCGTGCCTCGCTTCGGGACGTGGTCACGTGGACCAAGCCTGCACTACTTCAGCCGGTGACGTCACGGTCGCTCGTGAGCCAATGGCCGCGTCTGTTTATATGGGGCTTCGTTTTCCCTTGGAAGCCAAAGGCCGGGAGGCTGCGCTTTTGCTCGGTGGCTGCGCTGCTGCCTCTCCCGCAGGGACTGGGGTTTCTGTAGATCCGTCTCTGGGGAAGCGACGTTAGGGCTTCTTGCATTGGGCTCATCGCGGTTCAGATTACCAAGAAAGAGAACGGAGTGGGAGAAGCCTCCCATTCGGTCTTCGTTACATCTTAAACTGGGATAAGAATGAGAGGATGAAACAGAGAGATATTTGTGTGCATCTCTTCGCTGGAGGGTAAGTGGAATACGATTGATGGCCCTGCTTCTTTGTGATACCTTCCCTTCCTTTCTGCCTTAAAATTTATTGACTATTTGTGCTCCATATACAAAACTCCTGTGTAATATGTGGCTCTGGAAATTTATTTGGTGGAACGTGCAGCGGGGCATATGCTTAAGATGGGTAGAAATTTTTCTCAAGAAAATAGAAGGGAAGTCGTGGGAATGATTTGAATTGGGACTAAAAGAGAATTTTTCTGACTACCTGAACCATTTTTAAGTGATTGTGCACTGATACACATTAGGTAATATATGTTTCTACTAATATTTCACTGGGAGATTTTTAATTAAATGGTATGATACATCCATTACATTCATGTTTTGTGCTGCAAGTTAAAACTTCAAGATCATAACCTTTGCACAGATTGAATTGGCTGGTTTTCTTCCTATCATACTCTTTACTTTTCCTTATCTGTATCAATTATTGTTGAGGGCCAGGAGTATTTTATTCTAACTTGCAAACAGATGTATACCTAGGAAGTCCTTTGAATCTGTAAAATTCCTTACTTTTGATAACGTGTTAATTGAAATATATAGATGATCAGATACTAATCCTCTGCAGTCTGGCAGGTGAATTTTCTTTCTGTAGTATCTTCAAGCTAATTGGGAGATAAGTGTATGAATATGTAAAAGTAAGCCAATTGGTTTTGAAGTTTTGGGGTAGTACTGAGCATTACAAAGAAGATCTCAAATAATGACATTGTTGCATGTCTAGCAAGAAGTAGGTCCCACTGAATGTAGTGGGGCTTGCTTCTATGGAAGTGCTACAGATCCAGTGATGATCTCCTCCTCATGAAATTATTGCTCCCTGAGACAAGGAGAGATTTTCCCATCCTTCTGAAGCTTTCTGTATGAGGTCTGTGTTGCATGACATACTTATTCATATTTACTCAACCCGATTTTCTGAATCCTGGTTTATTTAATTAACTCAATTTTCCAGGTTTGAAGAACAAACTAATCTATAAACTTACCTCATGCCTGGGTTAACATAACACAACTAATGTGGCTGGCTAGTTTACTATTCACTATATTGTTGAAAACACAGTCAAAATCTGCTCTGAAATGTTGAGTTGTCCAGAATATATTTTAGTTGGTCATGGGAAACTCCAAGGGAGAAGAAGTGGTTTCCTCATACAAATGGGCTTCCATTTGTGCGGAATTGAATTCTATGCCAAATCCATAAATATAAGTTTTCTCTGAAAGAATTTTGTGAAGCCTTATATTGTAATGAAATTGCCAGATTTATATAGGACTTGCAGACAAAAAAATAAAATAAAATTCCAGATAACTGGGGAGAGTTAGGTTTCTCTGCTGCCATTTAGTAAATCATATGGATTTTTGAAGCCCTGTTTGGTAGTATTACCAGCAAAGTGTTAGAGCATAAATTGCCTCAAGAGATTATTTTACTGCAACAGATTAATGTAGCTGTGTCTTTTGAAATTAAATCCTTAAGTAACTATTGAGGTAAAGAACAGAGTTTGGAAGCAAACAGTGCAAAAAATAATGCTTCATCTGAATCAGAAAAGGGGTATAAATAGGATAATTGAGTATAAATAATTGTTCTCTGACATAGTTGTTGCTGGCTTGGGAACCTTTCTAGACTGTGGTTTAGAATACATGTAGTTTTTCTGTTGAGAGGATGATATTGCTGCAAAGCCTTGAAGCAGAACATTTCTGTGAGCCTCCCTCCCCCAAAATTGGTCATTTGAAATGGGCTGCTTGTTTCTAAATTATCAAAATCCAAATATTTTATACAGCCTTCTGAATTTCAAGCTTTATTTCAACTTGTTCTTACTCAAATGTGAAATCACAACCCTACATCTTAAAGTTTATTCCTTCTGTTCCTCTCACCCAGGTGTACCAATTAGTTTTTCATTTCTGAGTGGTCCCTGATTTTTGTATTTGCATATTTTGGGGATGGCCTACACAGGCAGTCAACAATTATTTTAGGAATGTGATTGTTCGTTCTGGGTATCTGACTTGGGGGCCACGGAGGGGCAAGTGATGAAGCATGCATTGCAACATGACAATGCAGACTTGTCCCTTATGTACTTGTGCAGAGTATCATGATACAAATATAAAACCGAGCTTGTGTCATGATTTCACGACACTCATTTTGACGTCATTGTGAGGACTCCCCTGGTTTCACTGTTTTCCCCAGGATCCCTGTCCCTTTTAATTCAGTAGAGTTTTCCTTGCAGACAAAGACATACATTGGATAACCATGTATCCAAACTCAGTCATATGGTTTCTGAAGCTAGTAATTTTCCTTTTTCTTCTGGGAAGTTTCCTATAGTAGGATATTTTTTGTCTGCTTCCAAGTCTCACAAACTTGGTCAAAGTTCATATTGTGCAGAAGGTATGTTGGAGTAGTAGCTGAGGGCTTCTGCCTAATCCCTCAGTCAGCAAAACTGGAAAGTATGTGTGTGATCACATGCAGAGCAGGGTGAAAGTAGTTTGAGGTTATCAATCCCAAGTATTTTTATTACCTGGCAGCCAGCGAAAGCTCTTTGGCTTTCTTCTGCTCTGTCTTTTTTGTTTTGGTTATAGAATATAGAAGGTAAAATATTCCACTTTTAGTGCTTTACAAAACTATGTATGTGTTAAAGTAGCTTGCTCAAAAGAGAGGAAGGAGCTAAAAGCAGTAGAATATGTGGCAATGGCAAAATTAACAGTATATATTCACAACAGAAGTTTAACCAAATAAAGCAAGAATAGTTCCCATATACATTTACAGTTTGGCTTCTAAGGGGGCCAAAATGTTTATAAATATTGTAAATTAGCAGAAACTGAAAAGGGGGACGTTAGAAAACTTCCTCTCTTACCTCTCTTTTTTCTCTTTTTTCTCTTTTTTCTCTTTCATTCTTTTTTATTTTTATTTTTAGTTGTCAAATTTGCTTTATCTTATTATTTGTGCATGTAAAAAAAAAAAGTAACATTACAGTGGAGACCTTAATACTAAGTAATCAGCTTAAGATAGAAACCCTTATTGTACAACAAATAGTTTGATGAAATTTGGAGCGGTTTTTTAATGTTATATTCAGTTCTGGATGCAAAGCTAAATAATCTCGTGCCTATTAACATTGACATGTTAAATCATAATTAATATTGATATACTGCCTTCTTTTTTCTATCTTTAATGGTCCACGTTATTTAGACATTAGAGTGCTAAGAATCTTTAGTTAATACTGTACTGTACAAATGCCATTGTGTCAAAGTAATATAATGTATTATGTATGTTATATTATTTCAGTACAATGGCATTTGTACAGTACAATACTGACTAAAGATTCTTAGCATTCTAATGTTTAAAAGCCTATTAAAAATAAATTAAACCAGTAAAGTGAAAAGCATTTTTCCAGCATTTTTCATTTATGGCAAACTTGTCAAAGGCAAATCCTTCTATAATTCAACTTATTATCTAAAACCAATGTACTTGGAAAACAGACAAATTTGATTTCAAATACAACCTACAACTATAGATTAAAAAATAAAAGTATGCATTATACCAGAACATTATGTTTGTTTTGAAAGTTTGCGCTACTGAACCTTTTGGCTGAATGGGAATTTGAAAATGGGTGTCTCCAGTCCTAATTGTAACCTTGGTGAATTTTGCTATGCTCTCTGTGCCAGGATTGCAAGCTTGGATTTGAAATATGTACACTTATTAAAGTTATTTCAGAAAATAAGAATAGTAATATTCATATTTTTGTTTATTTACAATTTATAATCTTGTTTTTCTGCTTTAAAAATATTCAGAGTATCTAACAAAATCATAAAAAATAGAGCTTAAAGTATAAATATAAATGCAGTTGTCCTCCATTTTCCTGGACTTAACTTTTATATACATGATACTAGTACCAATGCTTACCAGTCTGTTGAGAAAAAGAAAGGAAAAAATTGTTTCAAATGTAGAAGTACATCAGAAGCAAGGCCTGAGTAATTCCTTTTTAAGAAAAGGTGTATATCACTCAATATTTTTCATTCAGATCTTTATTTGCCAGTTTTGGAAACTGATTGTGAAATTAGGCTTCTTTAAATTTACTGGTAGTAAATCTTGCTATCAATCTTTAAAGGTTCTGATACACAAAATCTACATATAATTGTAGATGTCTGAGTAGTTGTAGAATATTGATAAAAGATAATTTATTATTTATTCCCCCCTCCCGGTAATATTTGCTCAATTAGAAGTAGTGATACTTTGCTGGTGGAAATAATTGTTTGCAAATGCAGCAAAAAAGCACAAATCCTTTGTGTAATGAACGATTATATATATTTAGGATATCGTTGTTGTTTAACAAGTCATTTTTTTTTTGTTAAAAAAAAGTCACACTTGTAATAAACACATGAAGTTATATATTGAAATCACCAGTTTCCATTGATGACAGAATGAAGTTAAATGAATTCCTGTTTCTTTTTCTGTGTTTCTAATAATAGCTTAGTAAATAAAGATTTTTTTTAAAAAAAACATGAAGTCTCACATTTAAAAACCCACATTTGTCAATTTTTGTACCTGGCAGCTTGACTAAAATAACATTCCTTGTTTTCCTCAAGAACTCTATTGATATACTATCCAGACACTTTGGTTTTGTTTTGTTTTTTTGTGCAAACCTAAACTGAACTTTATTTAGAGTTTATTTAGAAGGAACATATGAACCTTGAATGGCCAATTCAGTTCTATATTGGACTTTACAGTTGTATGTATAATGGACATTTTGTTTGAATACACAGGTAGTCCCTGGGTTAAGAATGCCCGGTTTACAGACAATCCATAGTTAAGAACAGAGCCTGTTGTAGCAAAGTTTGAGTTAAATACACAGTTATTCAAGTTAAATACACAATGGTTTGAGTTAATTACATAATACTACTTACACAGTATTATAAAACAGTACTGTTCCGGCTTACGTACAAATTTGACTTAAGGACAGACCTTGGGAATGGAACTGATTCTTAAACTGGGGACTACCTGTATACAAACATATATTCAGAGAAAATCTAATTCCTTACTCTGATACCAAATAAAAGGGCATTCTGTTATGCTGATCTACCTTCTCAGAGGTTTATATTATCACAGTATAGGAAGCTATATTAGATCAGTCTTTTATCCATCTGGATCAGTATTGACTATTCTGGCAGTGCTCATGATAGTTGGAAATGTACTGAGAGATATTTTACTTCTGCTTAAAAACTTTAGGAAAACACTGAAGGAGCAATAGAGGGATTCTTCTAAGTCACTGAAATTATGATTGTTGTTTTTATTCCCCTGCTTACTGTGCTTGGCTTTTTCATACTAGAGTTATGATCAAAACCCAGTTCTTCTAGAATGATGTTAACAAATCCCAGTGTTGCCTTTCTACTTAATCTACTTTTTTTGCAGAAGAAAAACTCATAGAAAATATAGTACCAGAATAATTGAAGCTGGTAATATTTTATAACTGACAAGGGGTCTACAATTTTCTGAGGTTGACAAATGTCATGGTTCTACTAGGAACATTTTGCCAGACTAGAAGCCAGAGGATTCCCTTAGCTCTTCTTTAAGGGAAGAAGAATAGGGAAATCATAGGCTTTGGCTAAAGTAAGCCAGATTTCTTGCAAAAAGAATCACAGAGGTAGTCATGATTGCTGCTTAGTGGAGATAATTGAAGTGCCCCATGTATCAGTAGTGGAATTGGACTGATAAAGGAATTCTGATTTAGAGAATTCTTGATGTATTGATCATGTGGTTGCCAACAATTTCCATCCTCCTTTCTAGAGTTGAATCTGGGGAAATGATGGAAATTGCTGTCCAATAGCTAAAATGATCCCTGTTTACTTTTAGAAATTCAAAGTAAAAAGAGGGTATAGTGATGTGCCAGAGGGGAGGCAGAACACTAGTTCTGGCAAATGACAATAGTTAATAGTAGATAGTATATCTGTAATTATTCTTTCAGCAGGTGTTTCAATACCAGAGGTCTGAGTTACTTTAAGCTTTTTGAAAAATTGAGCAACATGAAATCTGAGGTGCAGAATTGAAAGATTCAATTCAATTCTAATGTTTCTTCCTATTCTAGAAAGTATTCAAGAAGCTAAAATGCAAGTACATATATGCCATTTTAAAACAACGTTGCTGAAATATTGCATGATCTAGTCTATTTTTTTTTAATTTGTAACTGGATAAAATATGTTTAGGAGTATCATACTCTTCTTTCCCCATCTAATGTGCTCCCATATTAGGGAGCAGCCTGCCTCCAGAAATCTGAATAGCGTCCCCACGAAGACAAAACTGTTTTAGAGATTTTGATGAATGAGAAGTTGGTATGGAATACCAGGTTGTGTTAAGGATGATGGAGCTGTTTGTATGGTTTTATGTAGTTCTGTAAATCTGAGTTTTGGAAGTTGGTGGTATAGAAATGATGTAAATAAGTAATATTTTTTTATAACTATAGCATCTAAACCTATCATTTCCCGTAGCTGAGGCTGGGGCAACATGATAAGTTTCAACTTCAGCTAGATCTCCTAATGAATATTACTAGTTTTTTTAGCCACTTTGTGAAAATTATAAGAGCATCAAGAAGGATAGGTATAAATATTGATTTTTTTTTTTTTATGAAAGGAGTGAATTTCTCAATGTCCTCATCTCATTTTTCTTCTTTGCAGATGTGGAGGCACTGTAGCTGCAATCCTGACATGTCCACTAGAAGTTTTGAAAACACGATTGCAGTCTTCATCTATTACGCTCTATATTTCTGAAGTTCAGTTGAATACTGTGAATGGAGCAGGAGTTAATCGAGTTTCCCCACGGGCTTTCCATTGTTTTAAGTGAGCACCTATTTCTTCCCACTTCCACATATATGGCTTTCTCTTAAATAAAGAGTACCCCTTTGCTCTGTGGTAGAGAGCAAGGTTAGGTGACCCTGTTTTTTAGGTGTTTTGGACTTCTCCCATCAGTTCAAGCCATTTAGGAAAATGGCTAAAGTTTATGGACATGGAATCTAACTTTGAATAGCATCAGAATACATATTCCTATTCCAGAAATTCATTTTATGTATCTTAAAAGAACAAATTCTAAAAGGTGAAATTAAAATGAAATATGTTCTCAGAATGCAGTTCAGCTATCCAGATTATCCTTTTTTTATCTTGATACTTATTCCTTTAGTTTGCAAAGTAAAGTTTCACATGTTTTTGGTATTGCGGTTAATATTGACTTGCTGAAATCTTGTAGAGAATGAATTATTCCGTCATAAGAACAAATTACTTCTGTTTTATTTATTTACATGGCATACATCAAAGCCAGGAGCTAAAGACCTTGAGAAACAAGCTAGTATTATCCTTTATTTAGGACATGTCATCCAACTGAAAACTAGAATGTGTGTTGCCAGCCAAAAACCATCCATCTTGATCTTGTTGAATGAATACTAAAAGGAAAGTTCCCTGATTACTATGTTATGATATCTTTATGGATCAATCAGAACTTGCCACCTTAGCTTCCATGATGTTGCTATTTTGAATATTAACAGTGGCATGTGGTAGATATCCTGGCTTTTGTGGATGTCAGCAATTAGTTTAAGAACTAGAAACAATCTATGATACTTCTAAAAAGCTTCTGTTTGTCCTTCCTTAATTACATGTTTGATTTTGTTGCTGAAACATGTATAATTATTTTGTCTTGTCATAAACTCATTAGGTTCTATAAACATTTTTAGCTGCAGCCAACATGTCCCTTCTAAATCTACAACGTGGATTTGCAATAGTTCTGTGGAGGTGTTCAGAAATCAGTATCTCTGATCTTGGAGTCCTGATCTTTCCACACTGAGCAGGGAAATTTAAAAGGGATTTATTATAGTTGGTGGAGTGTGAGTAAATATAGTTGAGGGTTTCTTCTGTTTGTATTCAAGTACACATAATACAAAGGCTCCTTCAGATATTTTCCTACAATTTTAAAAGGCCAAAGACTTAATGAGTGTGAATTTTGGGAAGTGGGATTGGGTTTGTATGTGTATCTATGTTCCCAGTCAGTCATTACCTCAACAGACTGAGACTTTTAATAAAACCAATATTGATTTACCATTTGATTCTATGAAGAGAACAGTCTATAAATCATTTCCAACCTTTTGTAACTAGCAAAGATAATAAACTTCAGCTAAGCTAGGAATTAAATGTTGTATTATGTAACGTTTTGAAGTTTCCCAGAATTCCTCAAACTGCAGTTTAAAAAACCTTTCCAAAATTTACTGATGAATTCTAATATTTAATTGGACAGAAATACATGAGAAGGATATATGCATCAACTATAGTTAAATTAAGATCAGAAAATTAATATTCTTGTTGGTCTTGCTTGTCTTGTGTACTAATATACCTGATGGCTAAGATTGCACAATCATACCTTAACCCTCTGAATAATTAAAGGTATGTTATCATTCAGGAATGCAGTTGCACAACATATTTCAGAGGTCTGAATTTTGATCAAGTGGATTAAAAACATTGTGGAAAACAAGCCTGCTCATAAGCAATTCTAATAAGAGGAAACCCTTCAAATTTTGACTATACAGTTAGAGAAGAAATTGGGAGCACCTTTTTCTTCCAATATTGTCACCAATAATTAATAGTGACATTTTAAACTACTATAATGTGTTGCATAATACAGTTGGGCTGTCCAGTTTAAATAGTTCCAAATGAGAGTTTTTTTGTTTTTTTACACTGTTTGCAGTTTGCTCAATCTTCATGTCATCAACCTGTATTTCTATTTGTACAAGAAATACTCTAAAGACATTCTGACAATACTGAACACTATTGATATGTACATTGCAGTGTGTAGCATGTTGATTAGATAATGTTAATTCTGGGACTTGTTAGCTCTGAAAATAGCCCTGAACTAGCTCTGAAAATATCCAAGTAACACAGCATTTTAACAGTTGAAACTAAATGGCACTTCAATGTTACATGGGACTGTCTGTATCACCAGTAATAAGGCTGGACAAATATTAAAAGATGTTATTTACAAAGCCCACTGGTACAAGCAGAGTGCCTATCCTTGAAGCATTTAGTCAACTGTGTCTTCTGCACAGCTAAGTGAAGCTAGTTCAGGGGATTTCCTAGCTTGCCTTCTCAGGTGTGAACATGAACAATTTCATGGGCAAAGCTCAGAAGAAGTGTTCTCTTACATACATGCGTGCATGCAAAGACCCTGGGAAAGCCTCCCAGGCTGCTGATAGTGCCAGTTGTCCTATAGAAACTTTTTTTCTGATGCAGGCTACAAATCTTGTTGTGATAAGCATAGAATATTTTTTCTGTGGCATTTTCTGAAAACCTGGACCACTGATTGTTCACATGTGTGCCTGTCTGTCTATGGTTAATAGATAGAACAGCATGTCAGAACAGAGACAAAATTCAAACTGGAGAATACATGTTCTAGTTACTACTGTGGTATTCCAGATTCAGACTTGCAGATGTTTCATCTGACTGGGTCTTGGACAAACTTAGAACACGGAGTCCCTGCTCTAAGGCTCAGCCAGCTGACCTTGAAGGAAAATGTATTGAAATAGTGATTCTCTTCAGTAGTCCTTTCTGATATGACTTAACTGATATTCTCAGGCCTTTCATCTCGCTGGAATTGGCACGTAGCTACTAATTCTTAATTTCTGGCAGATGCTTAGTTCTTTGCTTTTAGGACCTGGCCATAGGGTTGTTCTTGACTTGTAGTCACAGTTTCTGTTGAGGACTCAAGAGAGTTAGTGTATTTTAGATTAACTATGGCTCCCTGAAATCTTTCCCTTGATATTCTCTTCAGTAAATATTCTGTTCTTCTAGAGAGAGACACCCCCCCCCAATTTCTGTATGCCATAAAAACAATGTTACAGAAAGATGAGGGTAACAAATACAGTTGCCAAAGCTTCTACTTGGAGCACTGCCACACTGAAGTGGTATTTAATTATGCTCCATACAGGAACCACATTTGTATAACAGGTGTTCTGCAGACTGTTGGCTGCTCACTGGAATCTCTCCATATAACCTTAAATATACTTTATTATATCATATATGTGCTTCTTTCACAGGATGATCTTACAAAACGAAGGTCCTCGGTCACTTTTCAGAGGACTAGGTCCTAACTTGGTAGGCGTGGCTCCATCTAGGTAAACTGAAAAAAAAATATTTGGATTATTTTATCTGATAATAGAAACTTTTAATGCTTTTCATTCTTTTGAAGTTACTGGGCATTTTGTTCTTTTTTGGGAAGCTACTTCTGTATTCTTACTAGCATGAGTCAGTGACAATTATAACTGCATAGACTTCGTTCTGTTTTATATGGAACATTCAAGATAAGTATGCTAATACTCTCTTTTTAATCTATATAGTCATCTATATTTATATGAATCCTGACAAAAATGCCAACTATATTAAGGAAACTTGCATTCATACCCTCAGGTAAAACACGGTATAATTGGAAGCCGTATTATAAACAAATCTCCTAATACCTGCTACTATATTATTTTTTTCCAGTTTTAGAATTGAAATTTTCCATAAACAAATGTTATTCATCCTTGCAAAGATATTACTGAGATACATACATAAATCTCTACATATACAGATAATTTTAATTCTACAATGCTTAATAAAATAATAGGCACATCCATTTTATTTAGGACAGTTTGACTGAAACTAATATTGTATCATGTAATCAGAATGATACCAGGTCTCTGTAATTCACATTATACAAAGTAAGTTCACAGTTGTAGAGTAGTAGTCAATATAGAACTTTGTGTAGATAGTAGGTTTGTTATCCTTCTGTAGAAGTTAATGAATATGTGGGATGAACTATGAAAAAGAAACAGTTTGCAATGGCAGAGGTGGAAACATGCCAAGGAACAACTATTCTGTAGATGAGTCATATGGCTGTATGCCCAGTTTTAGATGCACAGTAAGGCATGCTAAAATGGATTATCCTCTGAGTTAATTTCAGTCATTGTTTGTAGGAAATAAAAGACTTCAGTCATCCAGGCAGGTCCAATTTGCAACCTATCCATTTGTCCTTTGAGAAGCCTTTAGACACCAAGAGTTGACATCTGCACTGGAGACAAATAATATTATTTTAGTCTCATTATGGATATAGCCATGCTTAAGGTTCTCGTAATCCTATGAAGGACTGCTTACTTTTGTACTATCGTAAACTGCCGTCACATTAATAGAAATTATGCACACTTGACAGATTTAAATTCACCACATCCTGTGTGTGTGTGTGTATGCACGTGTGTGTGTTTAATGTAGATTTTAATAGAGGATTAATATTGCAATTTTGGTTATTGTCTGTAAGTAAGGCAGATTCCATCAACTTAAATTTCTTAATAAGTTTTATATATAATTTATATAATCCATTATATATTGCATTGGAAAACAAGTAGGAAAAATAAAGTACAAGCCATTATATGAGCTAGAGTGCACATATCCCCCCCACACACAAACAAAATTTGAATATAATATAGAAATCAGAAGGTTGGAGAGAAGTGGATATTAGTCTGAAAAGTGCATTATCTAGTTTTTATGTTTCTCTCATCTACCAGTAAAAATGTGATTGTGGACTTTCCCCCAATTTTTGTACTATGCTTGTCCATTTGCTTATGTATTTTTGGGCTTATGAATGAATTGTGATCCTTTTTTTTAGTCATCAGCCTTGGACAAATACTTTTGTGTTTCATTTAAACAATTGCTAAGTAGCTTTTACAGCACTTCCCTATTTGACTAGGATATAATGAGGCCTGTTTTATAACATATATAGCATACACTGCTGATTTCAAATTCCCTGTTGCTAACTACCTCACGTAAAACAACCACTTATCACATCTTTGTGAAAGGCCACATGTTTGCAAAGCTAATGGCATTAACTTAATGTTCTGTTGTGGGAACTCATTTATTCAGATCATAACCCCTGTTGATTGCATTTCTCAAACTACCAGTAAAAAGATGTTGCGGCAGAATGATCATTTGGTTTATTCTTAATTATTAAATTTGTTTTAAATGTCTATAAATTAAAAGAATAGCATTAAGTAGATTCAGTGTTGTTATAGTAATATACCACATTACTGGACATACTGGAATATTAATCCATAGTTTTAATATTTCAGTAGTATAACCAAATACTTCCTCTTTTAAATATTGAAAGCTTAGAGCAGCATTTCTCAAACTTAAATAAATATTCAGGAAATGCAAGGACCATCCAGTTAAATGCCTCTTATGTTTTTGTCTTCATGGAAATTCATATTCTCAGGCCAGTAAGATAATAATTATGGTTGCATACACATATGCTTTCTCATACCATTGATTTTTAAAGGCCTTTTAACTAAATTTTGCATCAGAACATTTAATCCCAAAACTACATATTTTATGTATCACATGAATTATTTTAGGTATCACATGCCATATAATAATAAACCTTAGCCCAATTTGTTAAATAAGAATGCTATTCAATAGAAAACTCTGAACACTAAGAGTCTAGGAATATCTACCCAATGACATCCCATGTTTTGTTGCTTAAATCTCTTATTTACTTTTTCTTTTTGGATTGCTTTATTAGACATAGCTCCACTCAGCTGAACATATGTGAACCTCCAAAATGATAACTGCAGCGGACACCTCTCAGTTTCTTGAATTTGAGTACTCATTATGCTATTTATGTTATCACTTGCCTGCTTTAATGAACCAGTTTTCTGCCACTGACCTACTCTCACAAAACAGCTGACTGTCGGAGCACTTGGGGAGGTAGGAGTGTAGGCGGGAAGCAGGCTTTTACGAGCTGTGAGTGCCTTGTGTGAAGCAGTGAGGCTGAGATAGTGAGTGGGTTCTCGCCAGTTGATCATCACCTGGGCTGAGATGGCGAGCAGGGAAACAGACTTGAAGGAGTGAGTGGACTCTGGCCTGTGAACACAGGAAAGCTGCACTTCCACACACTACATCTGAGAAACACTAGTTCAGAAGATTGTTCCTTACTGCAGTGTAATATTAGTATTTGTCCAACACAGAGCTATGTTGTGGTTAACTATTTACTTTGTTTCGCTTTTAGAGCACTATATTTTGCAACTTACTCCAAGTGCAAAGAAATTATGAATAACATATTTGAGCCAGATTCTACTCAAGTACATATGACCTCAGCTGGAGTGGCAGGTAAGGATTCTTGAATTCTTACTTTAATCTCCTGAAAAGCTATTAATGGAATGGCTGCAGTAATAAATGAAACCTAAAAAAGTAATGGAAATAGACAATTCAGAATACAATGACGATAGAGTCGTCTGCGTGACTAAAATATTGTACATGAAAACCTGTTGATTGGGTATGATTGCTTGGTACAAGTATTTAAGGAAGCCTGCATTAGAAAGCATTTTGTTTTCTTCCTAACTCCCAAGTTAGCAAATCATGTACACCTAATTTCTAGGACTGTTTAGTGATTTGGAGTTAAGGGAAAAGGTGATTTGGAGCATGCAGGAGCATAACATTTCTGTTAACTCCTTAAAGAAGCTGCATCTTTTCCTGGGCTTATACAGCAGCAGCCACACAATCCCAGGGAAATATATATTTGCTTTAAAGAGGTGCCAACAGATACCATCTGCTCACTTAAGTATGCTCCCAACCACCATTTCCCCTTTGAATCTTGATTGGTGCATAGTCCTATCAAGCTAAGCAATGTTTAGGTGGAATTAAAGAAGCCTCTTTTTCCTCTTTGTCGACAGACTTTATTTTGCAAACTTTCTCCTTTGATAAGCCACCTGCTGTATCTTCTTTGTAATACACCAGCTTGACTCTGATAAAGCTTGTTACCTTCAATAAGAAGGGAGCAAGCAAACAAGCAAATTGTCGTCTTTTGGGGGATATGAGAATGAGATTCTTAGGGAAAGGAGGAGATAAAAAATTTAATCCAACATGATTATATAGTCTTATAGAATTCATGGAGTCACAAGTTCTACGACAGTTTATCTGGTGGTAAGCCCCATATGATCTCTGTGATAAGAAAATGTAAGGTTGTGCTATTTTAGAATAAATGTTTCTATTGGTGGCTTACACTCTCTCTTCCATATCAGAATCCTGACATGTTTGGGAGACATTTATCAAACAAAGGAGGCAGAATCATGCCTGATATTATGATGCTTCTTGATAGCACTAAGTTTTTTTGTTTGGTTTTTTGTTTAATTGTGAATCATACCTATACAGTATATATATCATTAGGCCACTTTAAAACTAGCCCTATCATTTTTATATCAGTCCTAGGAAGCTAAAATGCCCAAATAATTTAATCAGCCTAGTTAATCTTCTGTTTTATTGTTTTGGAGAATGAAGTTTAAATGTTAAATGGCTTTATGTTATATGGTCTTTTGAAGGAGTCCATTGGGAATGGAATGGAGGAGGGAAGGAGCAACAGTGCAACTGGGGATTCATTTTAAACTGTAAATTGATTTAGAGACTGTTACCTGTCTTCTTTTTTTCTCAGAAGTTAAAAAGAAATATAATTTCTCTTGACAAAGAACAGAGCAGAAGATGAAAATGGATTAGCAGTCTTTTTTAACTGAAAATGACCTGTGTATTGCACATTAATCGTTGTTCGGAATTAGCTTAAATATTACTTATTTGGTTTTCGTAATGCTTGTGTGTAAATATGCATATTTGCCCAGAAGTTGTAGAAAATTGATTTGTTGGCAAATTTCATATCTACATGCAAACCCAGTTTGCCCATCCAGCAGAATTTATGATCTTACGATTTGAATTATTTATATGAAAATTCTGTTTTAAATCGATCTTTTTAGTTATTTAGTTTTTCATAGCTGTCACTTTGAGACAAGTATGCTTTGCTTTACTTTTAATGTAAAAACCTACTATTTCTGTGGTTCTCTTCTTATTACATGAAATTATCTTGTTCATATGCTTCAAAAAATTGACGGGCAATAATGTTCAGCTTTGCAGTTATATACCTAAACTACATGGTTGGTGAAAAAGAATGTCCTGTGCATATTGGCTTTGAAGGTAGCTACTTTTCCCCTTGAACTAGCATAGATTTAGGATGTTAGAAATCCCATAGATTGCATTTCAAAAGTTCTTAAATACATATAAAACTACTGACATATAATTTTTGGCTGTGTTGTCGTATAACTAATATAAAATAGCTTATGAGAAAAATGCTAACCTTGTCATTTTTGTATTTGCTTCTTAAAATGCTTACTGATTGCATTAAATTAAACTATTAACAATTCTGCCTGCAGGATACATCTTAGCTTAGAGCTACTAGTACAGTTAAGAATACCTGGAAGTCTTGAAGAAATACTTTATGAGACCTTCTGCATACAAATATTATTTTGAAATATTTTATAGATTACAAATTCTTTCCTAACTTTCCTGTTAGTTACATGTATACTTTTTCAGTAATCATAAAACTATCTATTCTGTGCTCATTTTTATTAATACCTTTTTTTAAAAAGAAATCTTGTTTAAATTTTTAAGCCATACAGATAGTATTTTGTACAAAAGCTAAATATATTTAGCAAAGCCTTAAATATTAAGTTACATGTTTTGTGGCTAGTATCTCTTAATTTCTTGGTATCCAATAAGAAATATTTTGTTAGATATCTTTATGGGTATCAGTCATTCTTGGTGGGCAAAATAGACCAGTGTACATTGACCATTCAGATCAGGCAAGAATGGTGTTACAAATCCAGAAGAGCCTTGAATATCTATTCCAGATCCCACTACAGAAACTAGATGAATCTTAGAATACTTCAGGAAGTACTGTAATATTGCTAAATATGACTCTAGTTGTTATTGTGCTGTTCTAGTGTAAGCAGCACAACTGCAACACTTCCAGATATAGAAATATGCTAAATATGGATGACATCCTGTCACCATGGTACAGCTGTATGCACAAATCCTCTGTACCCTATTTTCTGTGGATGGGAATCAGGAGCAGCATTATCACCTGGATACCTATTCCACTAAAAAGTTTTTCCATTCCTGAATCAATAAAGTATCTTTGCTGATTTTTTGGATGTGATATTGCAGCTGTTGTATGATATAGTTCTGTGTACATGTAGAAAAAATACTGGCTTAGGTTTTTTCTAGGTTGTGTTGGTAATACATACAGTATGTATACTTGAAAACTATTGTTTTTTGAGAGGACATTCCTCTTATATCAATTCCAACATGAAACAGGAAAAGATTATATTTTGTGAAGAACTCTCTAGTTTTGGCAAGTCATTGGCTTGTCCCACTAGTCATTCACTTGATGTATTTTGTATAGCAGCAACAGAATTTATAGTTTTGAATTTAAAACATTCTATCATGATAAATCTGCCTCCTGATATATTTGTTAGACATCTGTTTTGAAAAGGAGATAAATAGCTTAGTTGGACTGTGTGATTTTTCTCACCTTTTTTCTCTTTGTTTATGCTTCTAATAGTGCTCAAAACAGTAGCAAAGTTCAAGGATGACTTCATATTCTAAATTACATTTATCTCAGTATGATATTTCCAATGACAAGGTTAGCATTTTTTATTATTTTTTTAAACAAAGCCAAACCAATACTTTGTGTTTCTTTAAAGTGCATAGGTAAGTATTTTATGAGATATAAAATGGTTAAATTGCTGCAGATGGCAGAAATTTCAGTACTCAATGCATTTTACAAAACCCTTTTTTTTAATATTTGTGGCCTGTACTCTTTTTTTTTTTTTTTTACTGTTCTGAACTTTTAAAAAATAGATCTCACCTTTTACTAAGTCACAAACCCTTCCAATGGGATTCAGTTTTGTCACGTGTATCTGATTAGGTCACTGCTTGTTGTTATGATACAGAAAAGCCTGTGTCTATTTTAGGCATTTACTGTACATTTCTCCCGTGAAAGAGTGAGATCGTGTCATCTCATGTTCCCCATCCGCAGGTCACTTCCTGCAGAAATATGGACTAACTTAAACCTCGTGAGTACTGAACTGAGCATCTCTTGCAGCCTGTAGCGTAAGAACCAGAGTTTGGGTTTGTAACCACTCTTAAACAAACAGCATAAGGGGAATCTATTTCTGAATTCCAGTTGTATACATTGTTCACTCAGCTGTTTCTTCCATTCAGTTTGGGGAGAGGTGGAAAACCTTTTAATCGCTTCTATAAAATTAACCTAATTTGTTTAGTAAGCTCTCTTTTTAATAATATGCAGGATTTCTATTTTTATGTATAAATTTTGAAGGAATTATTCACAACTGCAGTTAATACTGCAGTTAACTGAATTCACTGACAACAGACTTCTTTCCTTTCCCCTCCCCCCCTTTAAAAGTATAATTTGGCATTACTTGTGTTCATATAATTTATCAGTTCAGTTTGTCTCACAAACAAAGGCAGTGCAAATTATTCCTGGGGTCTTGAGATGTTTTGATTGAAACTTGAGGGTCTTTTTTTCCTCTAAAAATCTTCTAATGTGTACTTAGTTTCCATTAGTCAGAGTTTCCAGTCAGTAGCTTTCAGAATTAAATAAGTTCACAGTACAGTCCTATGCATATCTGCTCAGAAGTAAGTTTTAGCTGGGAGTCTTTCTCCTAGGTAAGGTATATAGGATTTTAATCTCAAACCATAAATTAAAACTGTAATTCTACATGTATTTGTTATTTTTAAATTATTTAAAATATTTTTCTGCACACAGGGAAAAGCATTTTGTTCAGGCCTCTCATAGAATGCCTGAAGAAAAGGAATTTTTTTAAGGTATTGAAACAGAATCAATGATTTCATTTTTACAAATATACAAAAAGAAAGGAAAAAGGAAAAAAAATAGTACATCTTATATGTCCATATTGTAGTTAAAAGCCAAAATTATAAAAGTAGAAAGAATAATTTACTAAGGACTAGAAGGAACTTAGCATTAAGTAGGCATAGCTTCATGTAATTAATATATATTTTATTGTGACATAAAAATTAAGCTTAAAATACATTATGCAATTTTAAAAAGTGTTGTATTTCCCAAAAATAGAAATAATTACAGTAATATTAGAATCTAATGTTTAAGCATAATAGCAAGAAAACAAATTTGTTTGTTTTATAGAAAAGTCCAGGTCGATTTAGAGCCCCAGTGGAAATATAAAGTGCAGGAATGTTTCAACCTTTATTTAGGAAAGACTCATGAAAATGGCGCAATAATAAATGTGGCATTGGGAGAATGAATATAATGTTACTGGTTTATCTGAAGCATTTTAAGATAGCTTTATAAAAATGGCAAGTAATTAAAGAGTTTATATGCAAAAAACCCCATGAAATTAAAAAATTTAAAAATGTGGATGGATTTTTAAATATGGACTAAATCTTAAAATTGTTGAAATCGTTTTATTTTATACTCTTTCAGGCTGTAATTCTATAAATATTTAATTCTAACACCTACTGAATGGGACTTCCTTCTGAATAGACATATATAGGATTGTGCTGTTGTTTAATTTTCATGATGTGAGCAACTGCAGAAATTATCTAGAAAATCTTATACAAACTGTTCATATAACATTAACAAATCAAGTTTCTACATTCTCTGGTTTGGAATGTGCATAAAAAAATCCTTGAACAAGATGACCTGTATACTGACTCTAAAATCCTTGTTTCCCTTTTCTTCAGGAAGAAAGTAGGTTTTGTGATAGCAAGAGTAGTTATTTGCATTACAATAGAATAAAAACAACTGGGTGGTCAGAATCTAGTAAAATGTATAGCTCCCTTCTGTGTTACCTTATAAATGTTGCATTTTATATTAATCTTGTAACTGAACAGCTATTAAAAACTGCCCTTCCAGCCTTCTGCTTTCCGTGTTTTGTGATTCTGCAGTGGGTGAGATAAACTTTTATCTAGTAGACTCAGAACAATATCATCTTATTGAAATTTGAATAGTTGCTATCTTGCCTGCTTAATAGGTCACAGTATACATATATTCACATTACCTTAACTAATAACTTGTTTTTCTGTGTACAAGAATTTCTGTGGCCCACTTTGAATGTTAAGTAGTACTCTCTGGCATAAATCCTATGACATCCAACTTCTATTTTAATCAAGTATTGAAGTATTTATATAGAGGAAGGTGTCTGTTATTTAGCTAGCATATTTTTATGCTCTGCTTTGAATTTCCAATGTATAAATTAAATTCACAGAGAATAATTTATTGATGTATTTTAATGTTATTTGCAATTTGTTTTTATGAATTACATTTAGATTTAGTTGGCCTTGTTTCAATCTGAATGTTGGATAGGTGCCAAATGAAATTTCTATGAATAGAATGGCACAAACTGAGTTTTATATCATTAATATTTATCATTAATAATTTTGAATAATAAATGCATTTTTGAAATCATACAAAATATTATTGGCCTTATGGACTTGTAGTAATGACAAATTGTTGGTAGACATTTATTTCTGAATTTTAACAGTTAGCATAGTACAAGTCAGTTTACATCATCTTGCTATATATTTTGTAGTTTAACCTATAGTATTGTTTCCATGATGTTAGAAAAGTTAATTAATTTTTTTAACTGTTTGTTTAGGTTTTACTGCAATCACAGTAACTAATCCAATTTGGTTAATAAAGACACGATTACAGCTTGATGCAAGGTAAAAAAAACAAGGATCTCTTGAAAATATGTATTAGCATGTATAAAGTTTATCAAAAGTTACATTATCAAAAGTTAATGTAAGGAACCAGCAAAGCTCCACCATTAATTAGCCTCATACTTCTATTTTTAAATGAACCTATTGACTTATAATCTCTATAATTTCTCTGAGGTCTTAACATTTTAACATTTTGTTTAAAAATTGCTGGCAGTTGATGCATTTGGCCTTTTTACTTCAGTGTTTGAAAACACACACACACACAAACATATATTGCATTTGTCTGAAAACGTTTGTTTGCAATATCTGCTTTTGTGAATGCATTTTCACTGTAAAGCTATATTACTGCTATTCTTTCTAATGTTTGTAGGCAGATTGTCTTATTTCAGAGAGATTCTAGAATGTACACTGTACAATATTTATACCTTAAGCTGTAGAATGCAACTGGATATCATTTACTACATGGACTGGAAACATTCTCTTGATGAGTTATGATATATTTTAATCCTCTTAACCCATCATACATGGACAGAAACATAATTTCTTTGGACCTTGAAATGCTGTTGTAGGTGATTCTGAGTTTTGTTTTGTTTTTTATTTCATGATTTTGTGCAACATGAATTAACAAGAAACATAAGGCAAACTGTTGATTGGCAATGATTTGGAGCACAGAATTTATCAATAATACATGTTTTAGTGGCTTCTTAACAGTCTAAATGGCATTAAAATTACATTGAGAGCAGAAGTCTCAAGTGTGCAATTCAAAGAAGGTTCAGAAATAGCAGTTTTTCTGATATTCAGGTAGTCCATGTTTAACAACTATTCATTCAATGACTGTTCAAAGTTTCAATGGTGCTGAATGAAGAGACTTATGACCTCTACCCGAAGTTAAGGCGATGTGCGCCCTTGGCAATTGGTTTGCCCTTACGACTGGTTGCCAGGTGCCCTGTGATCATGTGATCACCATTTGCAATCTTCTCTGCCGGCTTTCTGAGAAAGTCAGTGGGGAAGCTGGCGAGGAAGGTCACAAGCTGCTGCCGCCTGCCAAAAGGACTCCCTCTCATATCTGGGGGCTGTCTGGAAAAGCTTCATGCTGAGATCCAAGCAAGCTTTTCAGCCCCAAAATGGAGAGGTTTCTGAAGCCTCTCTACCCTAGGGCTGAAAATCCAAGTGGTTCTGAGACCTTGTGCACCCAACCCGCACCACACCCCCACGCACCTTCCCCGACCCTCCCATGCACCCCTTTGCTCCCTCCCCCACCCAGCAGTGTCTAGGGCTTGCAACTTCCTGCCGGCTCCCCCACTGCCTTGCCTACAACCAGGGCATTTGCTTAACGATGGAACTGGGACTGCTGGGATTTCAGTTACTAAGTGAGGTGGTCATGATGTTTTGCTTAATGGCCGCATCACTTAGCAACAAACATTCCAGTCCCAATTGTCATTAGGCAAGGACTACCTGTATGTTCTAGTCTCACCTTAGGCATAAAGCAGCTGGGCAACTTTGGGCCAGCCCCTCTCCCTCAGTCCCAAGAAGAAGGCAGCAAGGGAAAACCAGTTCCAAAAATCTTGCTAAGAAAAGTTCAGGGACTAGTCCATGCAATCGCTAGGAATCAAGACTGACTCGAAGGCAACACACAAAAAACTGAGTTTCAAGGAGGACTTTTAAATGAAAGAATTTTCTTCCAAAGTGCATCAATTATAAGGCTTCGCTTGTGACACTGATGATTTCATGAATAGAAATCACAGTTAAAGAGGTCTTTTTATATATTAATCTGAGCATCCAGGCAAATAGAACTAAGATTGATTGATGTCATATCTGTCTCCATTAAAAAATATGAAAAGCTATGCATAATAGCCACAATTATTAAAACATGTTTTTTGTGTGTAGAAAATTTCAAGTTCAGTTCTAAGAACCTTCAGTTCCAGTTAGCAGGCTTTGAAGTGAAGGGACATTTAGGAACTTGGAAATCTATTTGTGGTTGAAATAAAGAGTCCTGAGATAAGGGAATGAATGGCCAATTCAGGAGCCCTAATTATATAGTTAAAAACTCTGGAAAAAAATACCTACAGTATTTAAATGCATGGATCTCAGGAAGAAATAGAACAGGGATGTATTTCCCTTACCTCATTTTCTGACTGCACGGTGAAACACTAATGTGTTTGTTATTTTTCTTCTTATTCAGCCAGTAATGTTTTTGTCATCCATGACAAAACATGAGGCAGAATAATCCTCCTCCTGTAGGAATGTAATTTTGGCTTTTTATGTGTAACTTTACTAAGTAAACCATAGTTCTATAACCTTGAGAGATACTGGGGCATACAGTTCTAGTTGAAATTTAATCAATGTTGATAGAGTTCGGTTATTTGTATGTAGATGAAAGGTTGTATCTTTTCTGTGATTATTATTGTGTATAAGTGGATACCTGAAACAGTATGTAAATATGAGGCTTTGCTCAATGGAGTATGTCATGCTGGCTCTTTGTAGAATATTACAAACAGTTTAGGTTTCAAGCTGTCTTTTCTTTTTGCTTTGTTTTCCATTTTAGGAATCGTGGAGAAAGGCGGATGAGTGCTTTTGAATGTGTACGCAAAGTGTATCGGTCAGATGGAATTAAAGGGTTTTACCGAGGGATGTCTGCCTCCTATGCAGGCATATCAGAGACTGTTATTCATTTTGTTATTTATGAGAATATTAAACAAAAAATCTTGGAATGTAATTCTGCTTCTGGTATGGATAAGGACAATGAGCCGGTCAAAAAAGCATCTGATTTTGTTCGTATGATGGCTGCTGCAGCCACTTCCAAAACCTGTGCCACATCTATAGCTTATCCACACGGTAAGGAATCTTTGCTTAGGAAGATAGTCAGCAAAATAAGATAGTGTTTGTCCATTTATTGCAACAAATCGTAGATTATGTTGGAGTTATTTGGGTTAAATAGTGATCATGTTCATCTTCTTTAAGAACATGTAGTTTTCAGGAAACAAATGAAAATGCTAACATTAATAGTAATATTTGCAACTGAGATTTCTAAAAGCATTACAAACCAAAAACAATAAAATACAATTAATAAATCATCCAGGAGAGATACTATAACTCATAAAGGTCATTATTCCAGTGTAGTGCAGGCATTTAAAAATGGCTGGGAGAAGAATATTTTTGCCTGGTACTCAAGAAGACATCAATATGAGTAACAGGTTTTCTTCCTTGGCAAGACCATTTCAAAGGAAGGTGGCAAAACTGAGAAGGATCTCTGCCTTATAGCCATCCATCTAACTTCACTTTGTGGAGACATTTGGAAATGCACCTCAAAGGGTGATCAGATACCTGGGCAGAATGGCTAAAGGCATTACTTGACATGTACTTGACATATTCTAGCTGCAAGTCATTCAGGGCTTTTAACATCAGTACTAGGATTTTGAATTGGGCCCAGAAACTGATGAAGCATTTATGCTGATCCTTTAGAAAAGTTCTATAATCGGATGAAGAAAAGTATTGTTGTCAACCAATCTATGAAATGTGATAGATGGAATTAATTATTCTGGACCTGGTGGACTAAATTTATAGTCTGTTGATAGTTATCTCATTTGCTTTGCTCCTTGAGAGATAGTAGTATTGACTAATTTAAAACATACTGATGTCAGTGAAGCTAAATATTTAATGTGGATTGAATCAAATAAAATAGAGAACTTGTTTCCCTGGTTTTCACATAGTAATTGTTTATGAATATTGCTTAGAAATTGAGATTTTTGTATAAAATACGTTGTTTTATAAGAGACTTTTTCCTCCCTTTTTTTAATGCAGAGGTTGTACGAACAAGGCTACGAGAAGAAGGAACAAAGTACCGATCCTTTTTCCAGACGCTGTCATTGCTTATGCAAGAAGAAGGCTATAGTTCTTTCTACCGTGGCCTAGCCACACATTTGATAAGACAGATACCGAACACAGCTATAATGATGTCTACATATGAAGTGGTAGTCTACTTGCTCAATAGACAGCAATACTGCTATCTGACTTTAGGGAAGTGAAAGACCAAAAGCTTGCAGTGGACCACGAACTCTCTGAGTGACAGACAGCAGCTATATATATATTATATACACACACGCGTATATCAACTATATGCAGTTATGGATGAAGTGGAAGACTGATGATGGGCAATCATTCACACACGTGCTGGCTTATCATATGGTATCTCTTGCAAGTTGTGCTTAAAGGACTGCCTTTAACATGTCATACTTCAGTTGCAATTTCCTCTTACCATGTCACCTTTTTTTACTTCTATGCAGTGAGCATCAAGGACTTGGTGTGAGCAAGGAGGGTTGTAACATGGGTTCTAGCTGCAAAGTGTATATCTCTTTTTGACTCAAATCCATTACTGGTATTAGAGTCATGTTCTCTTCCTACAGCAGTTTGAAGGCTGTGTCAGTCTAAAGCAGATTCATGCTCGTATCTGAAACTCCATTTTGCAATTTGAAATAAAATGAAAGGTGAAGATTCACATTAAGCTTCCCATTTTACTACCTCAGTGGGTCTCATGGGGAAATTTAGATTTCTCACTTAAAAAAAAAATGGCCTTCATTTGTAGAAATGGGGGCAGGGCAGGCTGAACAAAATTTCTTGGTATTCTGATAATTTTAACACCTAACCCTGGGGTTCACTATACTGTTGGTGCATATTTTAATTACCTTAAGTGTTTTTTGGTGTACAAACAGAAGAATGTTAAGATCTGCATAAGATTTATTTCTGTTCTCCTGAGCTGTATACAGCTTTGGCTCATAAATCCCAGTGGGACTTAAAGTATTTCTAGATCATGTTATTTTGAACCAAGAATCAACCAATATAGGGCAGGGTGGCAAGGATCTTAGTAACTCAGTGTTATGCCAGACTTCAGCAAACTTAATTCTCATAAGAATACCTTCATTGAGCTGAAATCTGCATTAACTAAATGCCAAACTTTACTAGATCTCAAGAACATGTCAAAATCAGATGCTAATAGAATTAACTAGAGAAATAATTGAATACTCTGTGTTTAAGCATTCACTTATACTTCATTCTTTGCTTCATCTCTGATGCACTATGCAGAAATTGTAAAATTAATGTTCCTTTTTTTCTCAGAAAGAATAGTCTTTAAAATTTATTTCAACATTTATACAATATAGTCTGCTATAATTTAAGAATTGGTCTTCACTAACTCATAATAGCTGTATTGTCTTTAAAAGAAATTATTTACAGTATTACAAATAGCCTATTTTAGTGTTCTGTAATAAATACAAAAATCCTACATTTATTTTTTTTAACTACAGCACATCTGTTCTAAGCAAATTTCTGCCTGTGGATTATTGATTTCTAACCTATTTTTTTATTTTTATTTTTGCACATGTAGCTAGTGATACCAGGAGATAAACTTGTGAATTCATTTGCAGTTATTTAGTTCAAAGGCAATATTCTAAAAATGTGTATCTTTAGTGCACATTTGATTTTTTATTGGAGAAAATTAAGTAATTGTAATGGTGCAATCCTACTCTTGCCTGTTCAGAAGTTACATAGAATTTAGACAGATTTATTCCCGGGTCAGCAAGAATAGGATTATAGCCTAAAGTTTATTTATGGCAAGTGGCTTAAATCAAGGTTAGTTCCCTTTATTACTGTATGTATTTTGTTCCTATATAATGCAAAGAACTGAAGCATATGAGGACATCGGGAACGACTTAAAATTTAGTTCTATAAGTTGTTCAAAAATAGTCTTATTGCAGGCTAGGTTTGCTGAAGTACTTTAAAATAATGCAGGGATATTGAGGATATAACCAGATAGAAAAATGGTTCCTCCCTGGCTATTCTGTGGCAGATATGTTTCCTGTAGGCTTGCAATATTTAGTTTCATGGTGTATTCAAATGACCCTCTTGTTACAAACCATTCTGCTGGAACTTTTTAGCAGGGAGCAATTTTCCTTAATGAGGTTGATCTTGTTATATTATTTTAATAAACTTGACAGATACAATCATTAGTTGAGGATGACTGAAGAAAAAAAAATTGTTAAAGGAATGGATTCCTCAGCAACCTTTCATTTAAACAAATTTGTTATAAATATTACTGACAAAGATGCTATTGATCGTAAACAATAGGCTACAAATGCTAACTGTCTTAAAGGATAAAATCATGTATTATTACTTTGTTATGAAGAAACATTATTTCTAGGAAAAAAACTGACTTTATATTTTTCTATGTCTACACTCAGGTAGATTCAGACAACCAAGTCTCCCCCTGCACTGTGCAATTACTGTAAAGTCCACATTCCAACAAAAATTGTCCAAAGATAGTCAGAGAAGTTCTGGGCGAGTGAAAGGGTAAAATCATTATTACTACTAATTCTACACCTGGCAAAGCCTTTAAAAATAGACACTTTAAAATCATACGCTGTTCTAGCACACCAGCTTTATGAATCCACGCTTTGGTGGTGGTGGTTAGTTCCAAAGTAGCTCCAACTCGTTATGTGATCATACAGCATCCTAAACTTAATGGAAATGCCCCAATGTCACTAAAAGGTTCACTTTCAGTGGCTTCAGATAATGACTTTGCCAGATGAATAAAGTTCCTTTTAGCTAACACATCTACTTGAACATAATTTGAAATGATGTTCTATAAATTTTTTTGGTAAATCTTTTATAATCTGCAGTCAGAAAAATGCATATGATTATGATAGATATATTATGAAAACGGGGATATGATGTGAACGGTTCATCCTAAGCATTTCTACTGTCACCGCCGTTTCACATATGTTACAATGTAAAGCTGTGGGGTATCCAGGTTCAAAGGAGAAAAGGTGATTCAGTGTGTGTGGTGGGGGGGGGGGTTTGTCAGCAGTTTTCTGGAATCCCAGAAAAATAGACATTTGATTTAAAGAGGTGCTGCCTTTTCCCTTTTACATCCAGATTCTTTGCACAGTCTGTCTGTGAGCGCAGTACTTGCTAAACAAGTATCTATAGAATACTTGTTTACCTTAGTCCAGTGTTTCTCAATCTCTGCAGCTTTAAGATGAGCGGACTTCAGCTCCCAGCTGGCTGGGAAATTCTGGGAGTTGATGTCCATACATCTTAAAGTTGCTGAGGTTGAGAAATGCTGCCTTAGTCCAAGATTAACATTGATGGCTTTTAGCATAGTTGCTTTAAGGAGCTATCCCAACTTCAGCCAGAATTCAGATTAGGGACCTCGGGAGAGACTAGAAGAAGACCCAGAAGTCTCCTGGAACACTTGAAGAAAACTCCATAGATGTCATTGTTCCACCAAAGGAATGCTGATACCCAGTGCCAACTCTCAAGTTGAAATACAACACACAATATTAAGAAAAGGTCCCTTCCAAACTCCTTTGCACGGAAATAAATTAGTTGATTACTCCACAGCAGGTACATCTTTTAATAATTTGAAAAAAAGACTATATTTTCCCACCTACTAGTCTTTTATGGCTTTTTGGTCTTTGCATCTGTCTTTTAGTTTATAAGATACTTTATGTAGTAATTATTTACCCATTTTGTTCTATCTATATAAAAATTGGTTAAATAATTATGTAATTTAATATGAAGGTAATTTAATCAATTGTTTGGTTATATTCCTGTGTATCTTTCTGAAGGAAATTATGAACTTAAAGATAACTTCTTGAAAAATGAAGATTTCTCCCTGTGCACAATATACCTTGGAACTTAGTTTTATTCTTCTGAAGAATGGTAAGGCAGACACACATACAGTAAAATCAAAAATCAGAAGGTGTCTGGTAGCACCTTTGGCTAACAAATTTTATTAAAAGGCATAAGGTTTTGGGAGCTACAAATGAGCTGGTGCTACTAGACGCCTTCTGATTTTTGGATGCCATAGACCAGTATTTCTCAACCTTGGCAGCTCTCAGATGGGTGGACTCCACTTCCCAAAATTCTGGAAGTTGGAGTCCACCCATCAGAAAGCTGTCAAGATTGAGAAACACTACCATAGACTAACACGACTCTTACTAAAATAAACTTAACCAGAAGGTGGCATTATAGTACATGCCAGTGTAAGAAGTGTGTGTCTATGTCACAGAAACAAGCCATAGTGGATTCTTTTTTTTTTTTTAAATAAAACTTTTATTTTCTAGATTTTCATTCCTGTGTGTAAAACAGCATTAAAAGGAATACCTTACAGGTTTCTTAAGTTATTTTTCAAATTATAAGCATAGTTTTCTTCAGGATACATACATTTTTATGTAAACTTTGAAACTTTAAATGATAAAACAGCTAATGTGACTCTTTCGTTAGGCTGGTTATCAATCCAAAATTTTATGTCAAAGGATTATTATTCCCCCATACAATAACATGAATTTAAATGATTGCATTTGAGGTATTTGGAGACCTGCTTTCTGCATACCCAATAGGGTTTCCAATGCTTTTCTTTCCCCTCAAAAAGCAGATCATGCACTATTAAAAGTTAATTTAGCATATGAAATTTAGTGCTATGCCTGTCCGAATCCCACCTAACAGTATAATTTTAGATCTGATGTTTTCTTTAAATATTAGATATCATGACCTCTCATTTTTAACTCTCTCCTAAAATCTGTATTATATAACTGCAGCTTATAAACTGGAAATGATTTTGTTTTCACCAGGTTTTATAAGTTCTACAATCGAGCAGAATACTGATGATGTGTACCTATAGAAGTTTGCTACTTTAGAATGCAGATATTTATATTTTGGTAAATACCTGAAGTTCTGTACCAATTTCAGGTTTGCTTTTATTTTATGCTCAGAAGGCTTGCATACCCTCTATATGTGAAAGTAGTTTGTTCTATGAGTTCTTGTTCACCAACTCATTCTACCACTCTTACAAACTTGATTTAATTCTTGTGTACTATATTGTTGTCAAATATGTGCTTTAAATACATTTTGTATCTATACCACAATGACAACTTTTTATTTGGACTGCTCAAAACTTCAAAATAAAATAGAGTTTATTCAAACCAGTTAGGCTTCATTGGCTTCTTTAAAACAGAAAGAAAAGGGTGTTTCAAGTGAAAAAAAAAAGGATAGTGTGACTGCTCAGAGTGAGAAAAAAAAAGCATTGGCTTTGGAATAAAGTTCACAATAGACAAGTGAAGACCGTCAAATGTAATATGTTCTTTTGGCAGTATATTTTGCCATGATATTTTTCTGCAGGCCTTGTTTTTCCTGAATAAATGTCTCTTGAAGTTTTTGCCTTGTTCTCAAAATCCCATTGTGCAAAAAAAGGGTGGGGAGACCTCGGCGTAATAGGATGTGTGGTTGTTCAGAGATTGTCTCATTTATTGTAAAGAACTCCATTGTGAAGATACTAGAGTTTATTCTGTGTATTACTTAAGAGAGTAAGATTAAGATTGAGCTGCAAGAGAAATTAAGTGACATTACATAGTTGCAGCAAGCTTAGGGAACAATTTCTTTGAGTACAAGACAAATAGCAATTCCATGACCTGCCTTCTGAATTATCAAGATACCACTATAGGATTAGGATTAAACATCCTTTGTTTCTTTCCTTCTAGGCCAGTATTTCTCAACCTTAGGAGCATTAAAATGTGTGGACATCCACTCCCAGAATTCCCCAGCCAGCATGTTGAAGTCCACACATCTTAAAGGTGCTGTGGTTGATCTAGGCCATGACTGATATCAAGCAGTGTTTTAGAATTTAAAGATTTTAGCTATAAGTGGAAAGATAACACCTGGATTCCAGGCTTAGCCATTAGAAAAAGAATGGTTAGGCATAACATAACACATCTGAGCAACACAGGCAACAGTTTTCCCAAAACAATAACCAAAACTACCAGAAAAGGCACACCTGTTGGGCTACCATCTTTCCCAGCTCCTTGTCAACCATTATTTTCCTGAGACTTCACTGCTATTCTGTATAGGATGTACAGCAGGCTTTCCAAGATCAAGGGAAGGTCTGAAATTCAGTGGTAGAACTTCTCCTTTTTGCACAGAAGATCCCAGGATGAATGCCTTGCTTCTACAAAGAAAACTGGGAAATATTCCAGTCTGAAATCCCAGAGAGCTCTGCCAGCCAGGGTAAACAATGCTGAGCTTGGGAGGCCAATGGTCTGACCTAGCACAAGGCAGCCTGCCATGTTCCTTGTTAGAACATGGGATCCTTTTCCTGACAAATCAAGTGAGATGAGAAATTTCTGAAAAACAGCGTTGCAAGAGTACTAAAACTATGTTTCTGTCACAGCATATGATAAACAAGAACATATGCAAGAAAAACGAACAAGGGTCTTACAGTGATGCTACATTATGGTTTTGCATCTCCTTCCCCTGCAGTTGCCCATACATGCAAATTATTTTCTAATCAGGCACACACTTCCATTTCTAGGTCTAGTTGAGGTATTATTAGCGTGGGTACCTTTGGAGGCATTTCATTTCCATCTCTCAGCTGCTGTACATGATAATCTGTGGTGTTCTAGACATAGAACTGAATTATTTTACATTATTTTCCTATACCACCTTATATTACATAATCAGAGGGAACAACTCTGTTCTGTTTCCATAAAATATATGAACTTGACCACTGGAACATTATTTTTCCATTCTCATGTCAAAATTAAATATTTTTATAGAAGTCCAATATTTTGTTGCTGCCAAAAATGGCACTTAAGTTTGAATTCATTCCACAAAGAAAGTCATGATTTTAGACCACCCCTGCACTATAACTAGATGGCTGTCATCTTTTGGCTGTGCGGTAATCATAATAGATCATTTATGTTGTGGGTAATTTAAGCCATATTCTCCAACCTTCAAACATATCTAGTGTCTGTCTGACTGGAAATTCCCTTAAGCAACTTATGAGTCATTCAATCCCTGAAAAGACTTGGAAGTATTTCTACCAGGAAATAAATCCCTTACAATATTTTATTATTATACATATTTTATGGACATGGAAAAGAACGACCGGGGGAATGATGAATTTGTGGTTTAAGCCAATACCTGTGAAAACAGCTGCATAAAATTGTCATTAAAATTTACTTCCCTGGGAAAAAAGCCTACACAACTGCCCATCCAGACAATGAAAGTTAAAAATAAGAATTATTGTATTGTACTTGAATATCCATCAACGTAAATCCCTTCAGAAAGCTATGGAAATGCAAGCAATGTTTAGTTAAAAATAATATAGCTTACACAATGAACAAGAAAAAATCAGGTTCCAAAATGGAGTGCAAGACTCATGGATCTTTATTCCTTATAAAAAAAATTATATGATGAGTTGTAAAAAACAAGACACTGGCAAATAGTAACATTACAGTATCTACTGAAGTTACAAATAACTTCTTTTCTATGAAAAGTGAACCATATTGCTGTTCTAAGATTCTCAGTAAGATGCAAACAGGTTTTAGGAAGGCTGAGTGTAGGAAAGTACTTGTCACCTGAAGTACAGAAAAGATGCATTAAAAACTCTCTTCTAAGTATGTCCAACAGCTGAATTCTGTATTTTCTCCAGACTTTCAAGTGAATTGGGGATCTTTTGTATACAACATACTTATTAGCTACTATTGTACCATCTATATCTTGGCTACATTGTGGCTTTTCCTAACAACTTTTCTGAATTTTGGTTCATTTCCTTTTTAAATTTAAAATAGCTCCTCTCATTTTCTGCTCTCAGAAGCTCCATTCCACTAATTCAAGCGTAAGATGATTCTGTGAATTCCTTCCTTCCTTCCGGTGCGGTTGTGGATGTCAGCCTGTTATGGCCAGGCCCAAGAATGAATTGCATTGTGCAACTTCTACAGCAGCCATGATGCAGTAACAGGGATCATAGTCTACTGTATATAATTTGTTTGGAGTTTTGCTGAATTTCATAACATAATCAATGTCAGTCTTTGGCATCTTGGTTGAGAACTAAGATCTTATTGCAGAAACTGTAGGATTATTAATATAATTGGATTATTCAGAAGACTGGTTGGAAATACGTCACTATGAACTGTGCTAAAAACTGTGGTACACATCATAGCCCTGGTTACTTTCCAAATATAACCAACAGAGTCGAGGAGATGGTTTATGTGATCCTTTTCATGCTTATGTGGAGTAAAACAGGTTTGGCATTCATAATGAATATTTTATTGATATTATTTAATTATATTGGCTGGTTTATATGTATCATTTACTAATGTTAGTGTCTAGCAGCTGAATTGTTACTTTAATTAAATTGTTGATATATTTTTTCAGGAACTGTGTAACTGTGGTTTAACTGACATGATTGCTTTGAATACCCAATTAGATTACCTTATAATTTTGCAAGCATGCTACATGGCCTGAAATCAATGCAAGTCCCCAAGGGCAGCGTATCAAACTCTATACTGGCAAACTTTGCTGTCTGATGTCGATTGAACAGAAATCTGCCAGTTCTTAACCTGATTTGTTTACACAGTTTATAAAATAAGTGCAGCAATAGATGCTTTAATGTTAAAACCTCATTAAAAGCTGCATAGAAGTTCAAGTAAACAAAACAAGACAATACTTGGTGATCTGTATAATTATCCTGGCCTTCTAGTCTGTCTATTCATGTTAGAACATACACGATAAATTCCTCAAATGTTCTGGGAAGCCCAAAACTGTGAGGGCAATAGTTTTCTCTGTAGTTGCTCTCTACACAGAGCAATACACAGTGCTATCTCCTGATTAACTTGTAAATTATCAGAGACCCCTTTTCCAGTGTTAATGGTCCCCAACCCTGGCATGCATTCATTCATTCATTCATTCATTCATTCATTCATTCATTCATTCATTCATTCATTCATT